CATGACTTGCTTCGTACCTCCATTACAGTTTCCTCAAAAGTTAAAACAGTCCACTGATGAGATTGGTGCATTTTATTTATCCTCATCTTCCTAGTCAATAGTGTTTATAGATCCTGAGGTATAGAAATTAACAGGCAATTGGCTTCTGAGTTCGCCCTACGCCTATGAGTATAAAAAGATTTGCCTTTGCAGATTTTTTTTTTCTTTTTAAGCACCAGAAATGAAGCCCAAAGTAATTTGGTAAGATGTGTTGCTCAGTTTTTATATTGCTACAAAGTTATTTGACTACGTTTTAGAGGGGTGGATTCCTGTTTAAAAACAACAACAACAACAAATGAAATGTGGATTTTCTTTCTACAGAAACATTGAGAGTTCCCATTTCTATTGATGCTACTTATCTTGGTTCTTTCCAGATTTTTGCGAAGACATAATGTGAAATATAACCGTTCAGAAGGCAAAGATAACATTGTAGGATCTCGAGTAGAGCCCCACCTCAGCTAAGAGCTAAATATTGAGAATCATTCAAAGAATTTCAAACAAGAAGCCTGGCTTAGGGGGTCACGTGTCTATTTAATCTGTCCCCACTGCATGGAGTGCGACACGCAGCACATGCAGGGAATCAGAACCCCACACGAGGTTAATGAAAATGCACTCTGATTTGATGAAATGATTTATGATTTCTGAGCTACTCCTCTAGAAAGAAATTTAAAGTGACTGAGAATATGGGGGATTATCTGCTGGAATGCACTGTGAAGCTAGAAAAAGAAAAGCAGGGAAATATTTGTGAGTTCAAAAAGCCTTTTGACATCTGCTGTTTTCTCTTTTCTTTCTTTCAGATAGTGCAGAAAATATGGCATTTCTTTCCTCCTGGTTCTAGTCTGCACAAAGCCCCAGTCCTGGGCCAGGCACACAGTAGGCCCATAGAAGGTAGTGGAGAAATGAGTCTGAGGTATTGTAATATTCCTTCACGAGCACATTCGTACTGTACTTCTTATATTTTCCTATGTTAAGCACCTGTACACACACACACACACACACACACACCCCTCCCCTCTTTGGGGATGGGAATGACTTTTATTCTGTAAAAAGGTTTGGTAGATCAAGGGGTGGGGTGGGAGTGCATGTGTGCAGGGTACTGGACGCCCCGCCTGTCTAGGGTCCTGAGTCAAGAGTAGGGCCCGACCTCCGCCACCCGTTGTTCCCACACCGCCTGCCTGTTGTCTGGGCATCAAGAGAGGGGACCTATTACTGGGGGCCAGCTGCCAAAGCCAGGCGGGGTCGAGGGGGGAGAGGTTAAGGTCCGGGGAGAGGCGCTATTGATCCGGCGGGGAACGCGAGACAGAGAGCGCAGCAAGACTAAAGGGGGAGCTGTGAGACCAGACATTAACAGCTTTCAGCGCTAATGATGCCCGTGCCAGACGGGCTGAGGGAAAAGAAGGAGACTGGAGCGGCAGCTGGGATTGCTCGCTGCCTGCACCCGGCCGCCTCTCGGGCGAGGAGGAGGAGGCGGCGGAGGCAAAGGAGGAAAGGGAGGAAGGAGCGGGGGGAGGAGAGGGCGAGGGGGCCAGCGCAGGGCTGGGCAGGGGCAGGGCGGCCTCTCCCCGGCCGCCGCGAGGTGGAGCGCGCCGGCGAGTGGCGGCGTGTCCGGTCCTGCGCCGGCCCGCCCGCGCGTCCCTCTTCCCGCCGTCGGGGCAGCGCGGGGCCAATGAGGAAGTGCTCCCCGGGTCCGTCGCGGCCCGCGCCGCCCCCTTGCCCGCTACTTCCTGCCAGGGGTGGGGCAGGGGTGCCCTCTCGGCAGACCCCGCCGCCCGAGCTACAGCCGAAGTTCCTGAGCGTCCTGCGCAGTACGCGGATGGGCCCCCCTTTCTTGAAGGGGGCTGTCGCGTTCCTGCAGGCCACAGACCGGGTCCCCAGTGCTTGTAATCAGCATCCAAGGGCCAGGGTCGCAGGTTGGGATTTTGGGCGCCGGACTGCCGGCGGAGCCGGGCAACAGGCACGCCGCGGCGGTTTGAGTCAGACCTGCCCCCGGTGCTGTGTGACCTTGGGCAAAACGCTAACACTTTCTGGACTTAACAACGCCAGTTCTCGGGCGGAGAGCTGATACCCCTCCCAAATTTAGGAGTCTGGGCGGGTTGGGATGACCAGTTTGTGGTTTTCTTAAGAAGTTTATTAAAGGTGTGTGTGAGCATTTTTTCTTACTTAGGCCACTTTCCTGGAAAGATTTTCCACAGTGGGTCTAGAAGGGGAGAGAGATGGAAGTGCTTCTGGACTTTGGACCACGAGGAGGTGCGGTGGGGGTGGTGGGCAGCTGTGTGTAGTCGAGGTTGGGGGTAATGCCTACTCCTACCCACGCCTCCCTGCCCAGTCCCCACCTCCTCGCAAGCCGACCCTGCAGCCCAGTCCGCAAAATTGCATGCTAGGGCTCATTTTATTGTTATTAAATTTTGGAGGGGGGTGGTTTGGGCAGGGAGTTCTTTCTGTTCTCACTGCGTTCTAAGTTGTTGGTACCTTCGCCCCACCCAAGACCTTGAGGGCGAGCAAAAACTCCATGTGTCCCCCAAGGGAAAGGACCCGAGAGAGGCGGTGCGCCCGGAGGCGTCACCGCCCAGCCACTCGCTTGAGTGTAGCTGCCAGAGCCCGGCCTGGGGGCGGGGTGGGGTGGGTGCAGCTGGGCTCGCGGTCGAAGCCCAGCCCTGAGCCAGGCCCCGACCCGCCCTGGCCGCCTCTCGGCCCAGACCAGAAGGTACCCTGAGATGGGAGAGGGGCCCAGCGCTTAGCGCGCCCAGCCATGGAGGCAGGTCATCAAACAGATGAAGTTGGCCGCGGCTTGGGGAGGGACGGGGCGCGGGATGGGGGAGATGTCCACGTGGCTGCGGCCTGGCCTTGTCCCCAGGCCACGGACAGTCCCCCACAACTGCTCTTGTCTTCGCCGGCTGGAGATCAAACGGCTGACAAGGCAGCTGTGTCCTTCCCAGTATAAGGGGCGATTTCAACTCCTGTCCTGGGCGGAGGCACACAGGACGTGGGTGTGTGTGTGGGAAGGGGGCGGGGGCACCCGTTACTTCCAGGTTTCAGTAATTGTCAGGGGGGCGAGAGGGGACTGGGGGACCTGATACCTCTTCTTCAGCTATTTTGGCCACGCCCACTTCTGGGTCAGCCGGTGCAAGTCCCTCTCCCACGCGGAGTCCTGTCCCCTTACCCCCACGCTTCCACAGACTGGGGGGTGGGACCCGTGTTTGACCCCACGGAGTTAATGGGGGGAGCGAAAAGACTCAGATGAATATTCCTTTCGGAATGGGACTCACACAAGGTCTCATGTTCCCTCTCCCCCGATTGTGTTCTAAATTCTTTACTTCTCTCAATGTCTTTTATTTTGTCCACTTGGCTCTCCCAGAGTTTGTAATATCAAGATTTCTATGAAGACACTTTTTGGAAGTTTAACCCCGACCCCCCAATAAAACAAAAGTAAAGCCAACCAAGATACTTCTCCAGCGAGGTGAAACAAGCTGACCATCGCCCCCAGTTCCGGTGTCGACCCCAACCCTTTTACACAGTCCCTCCCCCTTTCAATCCAGAAGAGATTTTGGATGGGTGGGTGGGGACTAGCGTTGATTCAACTTACTTCCACGCACTCAGCTCTCCTCCTCCCTTCTCAGGGGGTCCTGCTCCCAGGAGGGGAGGAGGGATGAAGCGGATTTTCTTTTATTTAAAAATATCCTCCTCCCCCTCCCCTTTTGCGCTGCCAGTGCACGGGAAGAAGAGGAGCGCACAAAAACGCTGTTTGCACGTGTGGCCGGCCTGGACTGCGGGTGTGCGCACGGGCGAGTGTGCGTGTGTGTGTGTGTGTGTGCGCGCGCGCGCGCGCGCGCGTGTCTCTGTGTGTGCTTTCTTGTTCTCTTACAGGGTACAATGTTAAAAAGCCACCGCTAGTCGCCCCCAGTGCTCCGACTCTCTGGGTCTTTTTGTCTCTAGTGCAGATTAAACGTCACGTCCGCACTTGAACTTGAATTTTATCCCATTGTACAGAGGCAGCCCCAGCCATAGAGAGACCGAGAGCTCCCAGAGAACCCGGACTCCGCCATCTTCACGTTGCAATCTATAGCTCCCAGTCCGCGCCCGCACCGACCCAGGCGCACTGGGCGAGCCGCCCCTCAGCCCCGCTCCCCCCGGGCCCGCGGCGCCAGGGGAGCGCTGGGGAGCGCTCGCGGGGACCCGGCAGCTTCTCCGGCCGGCGCCAGCCTGCCAGGTGAACTGGGAAGGAGCCGCTCCTGGAGTCCCCCCAGAGCCTCGGAAGGGTCAGTCTCCGAGAAAAAAACAGGCAGCCCGCAGAAAGCCCAGAAACAACCGAACCGGGGCAGTTTTACATTGCTTTGGGTTTTTTGAGGGGGCGGGGTGAAGGGGTACGAGACAAGTCCCCAAGTTTTCTTTGCTTTTTTTTTTTCCTTCTTTTATTATTATTTTTTATTTGTTTGCATTTTTCTCCCCCACCCCCCCCTCCTGGTAGAAGTGCGCTTTCCACCTACCAGACCCTGAAAGAAAGTGTCAGGAGCCGGTGCAAAATCCGGTTAAGTTCAAGAAGACATTTGGAAGTCCAGGAGGCCAAGCAGTTTGAAGAAGTGTAAGCGATTTTTTTCCTTCAAAAGAATATATTTTTAAAGAAACCAGCCAGCTCGCGGCAAGCAACAGCAGATTTTTTTTTTTTTTGCCTCTTTCTCCTATTTTAGATCGAGAGATTTTTCTTTCCTTTTTTTTCTTCTCTTTTTCTTTTTGCAAAACAAAGCAAAAAACAGCATAGAAGAAAGAGCAAAATACAGAAGAAGAAGAGGAGGAAGAGAGGGCAAGAGAGGAAGGGGGGAAAAAAAAACAAAACACCAACCCGGGCAGAGGAGGAGGCGCGGCGGCGGCGGCGGCGGCGGCAGCGGCGGCGGCGGCGGCGGCGGCGGCGGCGGCGGCTCGGACCCCCTCCCCCGGCTACCCCCATCAGTGCAGCTCTCCGGGCGATGCCAGAATAGATGCCGGGGCAATGTCCCGCCGCAAACAGGGCAACCCGCAGCACTTGTCCCAGAGGGAGCTCATCACCCGTAAGTGTCTGCGGCGTGCGCGCCAGGGGCCGGAGAATGGGGCTCCGGGTGCCCGGGGCTGGGTACACAGAGCCGGGCCGAGCGCCGGGGCCGTCCGCGGGCTCGCAGAGGCAGCGGCGGCGGCCCAGAGCATGGTGGGGGGCGGGGGGGGCATAGGAAAGTTTCTTTGAAGCCCTTGGAGTCGGAGCGCTGTGCAGTCAGACGCGTCTCGGGCTCGAGGGCCTGCGGAGCGGGCTCCGGGCCGGGGAGGGGGCGCGAAGGCTGGAGGAGGTGTGTGTGCACGCGGAGCCCGGCTGGACGCTCGCCCCTCCGAGCGGCGTGTGTGGCGGCGGCGGCGCTGGTGGCGGGGTTTGGAGAGGAGGGGGAGGGGGCTGGGGGAGCGGAGGGGGAGGGGGAGCCGGGAAGTGGGGAAAAGTTGGCGAGCGCGTGGGTCCGCGCTGACGGCGCGGGCGGAGGAGTGCGGGGTGCGCTTCGGCCTAGGGGAGACGCTGGGCGAGGGGCGGCTGCGGGCTCCGACTCCTCGGTCGCTGCACCCGGCGGGGCAGGGCGCCGGCCACGCCGGTCCTAGGATTCCGCCGCCGCCTTTCTCTCCCTCCTCTTGCTATTTGCAAAAGAATCCAGCTGCGCGTCTGTTTGCTGGGCTCATGCCCCCCCCTCCCCATTTCCCCACCTCCGTGTGTCTCCTGGGATGATCTTGTCTTCTATCCCCCACTCCAAAAAAAAAAAAAAAAGGAAAAAAGAAAGAAAAAAAAAAAGGTGGATTGGGGGTTGGTGAAAAAGCCCCGCCATGGGGGAAAAAGAAGGATTGTCAGCTAGGATAAAGAAGACAGGGATGTGCCTGTAAAATAGGGGGAAAGAATAAAAAGAAGAAAAAAAGAAAGGGGGGGAAGAAAAGGAGAAGAGACCTATCAATCTCTTACCCATCTTTCTATCTCAGTATCTTTCATCTTCCTTCTCTAAATAAACAAGGCAGGTCGCAGTGGAAATCCACCCGTCGAAATCGTGTGGATTTCAAGCAAGTGGCCGGGCAGGCAAAGTCAGGCAGCGGGTCAGAGACTCAGCAGCTTCCCGCGCCCCAGTTGGGTTTATTTAGAAAAGGGAAAAAGCGAGCGCGAGCGGGCCAGGTACGGTGTTTGCAGGGGAGCTCGCCCGGAGTACCCGCGCAGTTGCACGCGAAGGTCGGCTCGCAGCGCTCCCTGCCCGGCGCACGCAGCCCGCGGGGCTGCTGCTTCGCGGCGCACGAACATCTCCCCGCGGTCCTTTCTCTCGCGGTGCCTAGGTCGCCGTTGCCTTTTTTTTTTTTTTTTTTTTTGATTGCAATAGAAATAAAACGTTCTCTGAGTGCCATCGAGACCGTGGGCAGGTTGTGTTCCTGCAATCCTCGTAGCACCTCGTCGGGCTGGGGCTGGGGCCGGGCAGCCCTTGCGGAGCTGGAGAGGGCTGCGCGTCCAGCCGCAGCCGAGGACTGGCTGCGGGGCGGCTGAGAGCCGAATATTTATGTTATATTTTAAAAAATTTAAATAAATAAATAAATATATAAAAGGGGCTCTCCCCTCCCCTGAACACCCAGCACAGGAGCCATCTGCTCGGAGCATTTGCTGCTGCCACCTCTCCTTTGTTACAGCACATACATTAGTAAGAATTTGTGGATTTATTATTGTTTTTTGGGGAAGGGAATAGATTTTAAAGTGGGGTTTGCCTTGGGAGAGGGATTAGGTTTTGGAGGGAGGGAAGAGAACTTCTCTTTTATTTTTCACCTTGTAACATCAAAGAAGACTCACTGGTTGCATTTTAAACAAAATGTTTTACAACCAGATTTGAGCCTGGCTTGATCAAGGTCCTTTTGGCCAGTTGACATTTCGTCCTTTACCAAGCCAAAACCATTGCTTATTCCTCGCACCCCCCTCCGCCCTTTAGGTGGTGTACTGGTTGTTACAATGTCTGTATTTGCAGAGGTTAATTTCTCTAGGAGGCAATTTGCCTCTAGTAGCCTCTGTATAATTGCCAGGGTTGTTTTTGAGGAGGGGGAGGTTGGGGGGGGGTTGGGGAAGGGGGAGTCGTCAGGGCTCCATTGCCAAGCTGGAAGCATCTAAAGGAGCCAGGAGTGTTTTGCAGTTGTGTGTAAGGGGGTAAGAAGCAGGTAGGTTTGCTTTGCTTTTGCTCTCTTCCCCTCTGGCATTCCTGGGATATCAAGAGAAAGCCCTGGCCAGAAGGACTGGTGGCAGCTGGTCGTGGGGGACAAGGCGTGCCTGCTGGTGCAACATCCTTCCATCCTTCATTTGTTTCCCTTCTCTCTCAGCCTTGCAACGGTGCTGGGGAAAATGCCGCTGCCACTGGAGCTGGGAGGGAGGGAGAAGAGAGAGGCAAAGGAGAAGAGGTGAGGAGGAAGAGGAGGAGGAGGAGACAGGGGCAGAGGATATCTTGCCGGCCTTTCAGGGGCACATGGAGCCCAGGGCATGTGCAGGGGGTCAGGCAGAGAGAGTGGTCCAACCAGTTTCAGACAAGGCTATTTATTAGCAAAAAGCAGCTGGCTTCTCTGTTTGTCCTGTGTCACCCGGGAGGTGGGAGTGCAGGCAGGAGAATGGCAAGCATTGGATGCAGTTGAGGCTGCGTGGCCTGTGGAAGTGCCTTTCCACAGTGATGCAGGAGTCCTGGGTTTAGGGTGCTCTGGAGCCCTGGCCAGCAGAACCAGTGCTGTCATAGCCCTTACCCCGGAGGGTTCACATTCTAGATTTTAAAATTACCCAAAATGTGTGGCTTCCGTAGGTGGCTGCCCCTGGTTCTTTAGAGACAATGTAACTTAGGATGACTGCTGGTCTGGGAGACATGAAGAGTACACAAACAGCAAATGATCTTGGGGTGGGGGGCACTGCAGAAGAGCTCTGTAGTGAGCCTTGTTAAATGTACAGACAGGGCCCGAGAGAAGAGAAGTGAAGTATAAAACAGGGTGGGAGACAGCTGGGGATGAAAACCTGGGCTTCTGGTTTGCTTCAAAATGTTTGACCCAGATGGATATGGCTTTTAGAACTGGAGGACGACAGACACAGCTATTAATAAAAACAAACACAAAACAACAGTGACAATAGTGAGGAGGGAAGAAGAGGGGCAGTGGCTGACCAGGCAGAGGGAAGGGCTGTGAGCCCTGTGCCCGACAGGGAGAGTAGGGGAAATTGAAATGGAGTCGGGTCCACGAAGGTGCTCTGAGGCTTTCCGAAGAGTAAGATGTTCCTAGTAAATGATACAGCCCTAGTGAAGGTGATTTTTGTCAACAACCTACCAACAGGTTTCCTTGGAAGGTCAGTAATTTTCCATATGAATTCACAATTTTGCAAAAACAACTAGAGACCCAAGGTTTGACACGGAAGTTAGGCTAACTATGTTAATTTCACAGTTGCCTCTTAAACTGGGTTTTGCTATAGCTGTGTGTTTTGGAGGCGGCTGGGTTCACAACGACCTTAACTCTCTGGGGTATAGTGTATTTCCAGTTGTCCACAATTTTTCAAGATTGGGCCTCTGATAAATTTCATAAGACGTGGGTCATCTTTTTTGGTGGGGGGGGGATAGTTGGCAGGGGAAGGGGGAGTGAAGTTTGTCTCCCTTCTGCACAGAAGGGAACCCCATATCATTAGAAGTGTGATATAAGTCAGCTGCTCTGATTCCACGGGAGAATAAAAATGTGTTCATCAAAGGTGTTATGCCAGGCTGATTTTATTCATTTGTAATTCACACCTGAGAGAAAACAGCCGTGAGCGTATTTTAACAACCCTTAATATTTTTAAAGGGTATTCTTTCCCTCCCTGAATATTATGTACATACGCATATTTCTTTCTTTGAGGGCGGGAGCTCGCTATCTGCCTGTGCTTTGGCCTTGGCGATTTTTGTGCGGCCTTCAGAGTATTTTGTACAAGAAAACGAGTCATTGCTCAAGTGCTAGAGTGAATGCAGTCGCTTTGGTGAAGCCGGCCTTAGGAACATGGAGGGAGGCTGAGGTCAGCCGGCTGGGTGTGGCTGTCTGCTGACCGCAGTGCGGGACTCCACGGGTCTCCCTGACCGGAGAGAAAGGCCAGCTTTGGGTGCATCTGTCAGTGATTAGCGGTGCGTCCCAGGTGAGATGGAAGCACACGGAACAGTTCGTTTACAGATAGCAGCTTCCGACTGTAGAGAGCACCAGTTTCTAGCGCCTTATCAGTCTCGAGCTCCTGGCGCTGTCTTTTAGCTTAGAACATGTCTTGCACCAGGCCTTCCCTTCTTCCTTTTCATCTCCTTCCTTGATCGCTTTGCATTCTCTGTTGCTTGTTGTGATAAAATACTTTCCAAAATAAACTTTCAGTTGAATTGGCTTTTCGTTGATGGCAAGCCGGCACCGCCGAGCTGCGCCTGTTGCCACGTGGCAGCTAGGGGGAGCTCGGTGCCCGTGTCATGGCTTGGCGCCTCCGCTGCAACGGGCCAGGAGCGGGCTTCCATCAGCAGCCCAGGCAGTTTGCCTTGCTGCAAAATGTCTTAAGTGTGAAGTTGTAATATTGATTTTCCTGCGGAGATTCGAGCAGGACAAAATGAGAATAAAGTTTGAGAAATCTATTTTCAAGCTATTGGCATTGATTTATAAGCCCTCACTAGGCAGAGGGGAGTATTTTTCTTTTTTTCTCTTCTTTTCCTTTTTTTTTTTTTTTTTTTAACAATTAAAATGGTTAGTTTTGAATCGGTGCATTTTCCCCTATGACTCTGTGGTCTTGACTTTCTGAAAATCCCATTAGACTCTTCAGGCATTCGCGATGGAATGAAGGGGTCTGGGAAGAGCGTACATCATTTTGTCCATTTCTGTGTTGCATGTCACAGACCCAGGGAACGGTCGAGAATTGCTGCTTTTGGGAGTCATGCTCCTAAAACAGCTTGATGAATGGAAATCCTTTTAGCTCAGGTTTTATAACACTCGGATTCTCAATTCCATTTATTAGGTAATGTTCCCACTGTACTAAGGGAAATAGCACCATTCCCCAAAG